AGATGCAATTTTGGTTCCTTGCGTCCTGGTGACTAGTGTTTTCCCAATATTTCTTATATTGAACATAGCAGGTGCTTTCACATCACACCAATCTTTCTTAGAAAATGGATCAACCACTTTCTTCTTGGCTCCCTTTTTGCCACCTTTCGTAAGGCGCTTGTTCTTGCCGACCGCCATGATGGTGCTCAGCCTATCTCCAGGTTTTGACTACCAAAATATGTCTAGACATTGCATATCACCCCTAGTTGAGATGACTGGACTCATCAAAGAAAATGACAGACATTACCTACGGACAAGCTGACACATATTCCATAGCTAAACTGTAAAGGTTTTTTAAAAAGCTACAACATAACTGAACTTTGTTTTCTTACACAAAAGGCGCATTTTATATAATTTTTCTGTATCAGGATTTTGTTATCTTAACCAAAGATCTCGGAGGCCTTTCCACATCAGTCCATAAAGTTCTCCCTTAACGGCTGCACAGCGCTCCATGTTGTGTATATGATCATTTATCTCACTGGCCACCTATGACAGGCATTTGGGGTAACACTCTCTTGCTATTAAAAACAATGCAGTGAGCAACAACGTGCATATAAGTCTTTGTGTATTTGCCAGTGTATCTTTGGAGTAGGTTCCTGGAAGCAGATTTGCTAGTTCAAAGGGCTGATGTGCATGAAATTATGGTAGAGGCCGCCAAATTTCCCTCCACAGAGGTTGTGCCGTTTTGTATTCCCACTAGTGTCCTGATTTCATTACTTAACCTCATAGCATGAACACTTCCAATGTCATTAAATAACCCTTGAAAATTGGATTTCGTAATGGCTGCCCCCAATTCCCACATGTGCATACACTATCAGTAGCTAATCATTCCTTTCCTGTTAAACATATATGAGAATCCCAAACTTTCTGTGTTATAAGTAACACTGGAATGAACTTCTTTGCAAAAAAAAACTTTGACTGAAGTTCTGGTCATTTCCTTAGGACAAATTAATGTATCAAAGAGTTTCCCTATTTCTGACCTCTCTTATGACATACTGGTAGAGTTCTTCCATGAGGAAATGGTGCAGCGGTTCCCAACCTGTGGGTCACAATCCACAGGAACTGGATTAAAGGGCTGCAGCATTAGAAAGGTTGAGAACCGCTGAACCATTTTTTGTCAAGAGTATTGGGATAGATCTTTTTCTTGGGTTCAGGGTCTTTGATGAGGGAATAGACTTATCTGAGCAGTCTGTCCTTCTGGGGGAAATAACTAAATCACACCAAACTATGTAAAGACCCAGGCTTAAAAATCCTGAATAAATTCTTTATGGTTAGTGGCAGCTCTGATCAATTTCATCATTCAGGGCACTAGGCTATTCTTTTCTGCTTGTTAACTTAACATTTTCTCTAGACACATTCCTTCTCTCTCAAAGAAGCAATCATTTTCTCCTGCTCAGCAGAGAGATGGTGGGCAGGCTTTGTTTCTTCACAGCTTCTCTTCCTAAGAGAATTTCCCCTGGTCTGTAGTATCATGGAAAGGACAGCTCATCTGTGTCATTTGAGGTGGAAATAAACTATGAGAGGAGTAACAAATGTTGCGTCTTTAATATTACCACTTAAAGTAATAGCCATGTAAGAAATTTAGCAAGCACTATTAGGACTAATTTCACCCATCTTGATTGTTGAGTACTCACACACTGAGGCCTAGCAGTCCAGAGGGAAACAAAATACTGAACACAGCCATTAAGGCAAATGCTATCTTTAGACGTCTATTTAAGTCTATGGTAGTGTGGACAAATAAGGTGTGAAGATGATGAGTGTAGCTTGCAGAAACTCATGTTTTCCTTACTGTTTGCAAAATGGCTAGAAATTCCAGCAACCACCCTAAAAATAAGATACCTGGTATAATCAAGCTCTGAATTTAAAAAAAAAAAAAATCCCTAAACCTCCCTAACATTTAGAAGAAAACACGAGACCTCTGAGACAATTGCACTGGGAACAGTCTTGATTCATTTAGAGGAAAATGAGCAGGAAAAGTGAGCTGTCCATCAGCAGAGGGTCCCCAGTGCCATCGCCTCATGACTTACTTTCTCAGTTAAATTTGAAACCCAATTGGTTATCTCCCCCGCCCCCACCCGGTCTCACTCTGTTGCCTACACTGGAACATGGTGGTGCAATCCTGGCTCATTGCAGCCTTGAACGCCTGAGCTCAAGTGATTCTCCTGCCTCCTGAGTAGCTGGGACTACAGGAGTGCACCACTGTGCCCAGCTAACCTGGCTGTCTTTCTATTACCTGTGTAAAATGACTTCTCCCCACAGGAACCCTCTCCTCTCTGGCGTGGTGTTTCTATAGCAATGTATGCCTGTGATTTAAGGGATCAGTACACATAACCCTGGCTTTTTAAAAAAATAAAAATGTGTTCACGAGATGCAGGTTAAAGGCAGTTCAATTGGTTTACCCCTGGGGCGAGACTTCCCAGTACCTTTACAGTGGGATTGTGCTTGTGACTCTCCATGAAAGACAAGAGAAAGAAGATAAAGACAAGATAAAGCAGTCAGTCCATTCATATCTGACTCGAGAGTCCTTGCCTCCAGGAGCATCTCACAGGACCAGTGCCCCAGCTGAAAACCTTTTGGGAAACGTTAGTTTATATTCCATCACCCTGATCTAATGAATGCTTTTTTCATTGTACTTGTGTTCAGTCATGCATGCAGGCTTTTTAATATTTCTGTGACCACCAGTGGTCAAATTGTTTTTCTTAAAATTACTTCTCTCCATACAAAACCTTATCATCCCATGCAGTAATACCAAGTGGGCGATTTTCCACATGTGGTTTACAGGTGGCATTGGTACAGCCAGGAAAAAAGTGTGTTGTTCAGAACTTGGTAGGTCCAATGGGACGGGCATGCGAGGTCATTAAATAGTAGCCCCTTGCCCTGGCTGCATTCACACATTGCTCTGATTCCATCAGACACCAACAGCTTTCAACTTGACCTACATTGGCATTCATTGTTCTTCTTAACAGTGTGCATGCAGGTTGACAGACAAATTGTAAATTTAAAACCAAATTTTAAAAATTATGAAATTATAACAATTTTATAGACAATTTGAGAACCAGAAAATATACTCAGAATTTGAATACTGTGATACAAGTATTATCATCCTTGTACAGACAATACAAGTATTATCTCTGTAGTGAAAATGGTTTAGTTATTTGTTATCATCTGCCTGTGGATCTTTCTGCAGTAATTTTTTTTGTTCCCAAGAGGAACATAGTTTTGCTGTTTGGCTATTTAGAAAAGTAATACATGTTCATTACAAAAATCATGTTTTATATGTTTTAGTATTGTTTAAAAACAAACAGTCCCTTGCAACTATACCATGGAAAATGATAGAAAATTTTCTAGATTCTTTTATGTACATACATGTATGTGTAGAGCACACACACAGCAAAAACTGTGATCACCCACTGGGTACATAGGTATGTTCTGTGGTCTGTTTTTTCATTCTTCACAAATACAGGATGGCCATAAAGTTCATGGACAATTGCACATGAACTTCATGGCCATCCTGTATATTGTAGACAATTTTGAAAAACTGCCTAATCCCATATAGAATTCCACTCTATGAATGGCCATAATTATTTGATTATTCTTTCCTTTTTTTCTTTCTTTTTGCTTTTCTTTTCTTTCTTTCTTTCTTTCTTTCTTTTTTTTCTTTCTCTTTTGAGGGCCATTAATCTGATGCCAGCCTGTTGAACCATGCTCCTTCCTGCTACTAGAACTCAGTGCCCAGCTTGGCCCCCTGTACTGAGTAGGGGAGGTTTTCCCTTTGGTGCTGGGTTGGAGTGGGCCAGGTAGTATGGTTTTCTGTTCTGGTAGACTGCCTTTTCCCACACCTTTGGCTAAAGACAGCAGGCTTGACTTAAGGTGTTTTTGTCTGCTTGTTACCAGTTCCGAGAGGTAAGCTTCTCCAGCACCCCACTGGGGTAGATGGGAGACGAAAAGAAAACCCAGGGCATTCACTGCCATGTCATTCCTCAAGTCCTGAGGCTTCCTCCTCTCTCCATCTTTCAGGGTCTTTCTATGTTTGTTTGTTATATTATATCCAGTGGATTTGGGTTATAAAAGAGTAGACTGGGTCACATGGTCAAAAGGGAAAGTCTGTTTGTATTTTTGATTCCCTATTTATACATTTTAAATGTAATTTATTTTATACTCGGTATTAGAGGAGTCTATTTCTCTTGTTAGTTTCTTCTGCTGAGTTTCATTCATGGTGGCTTGTTTTGTGTTTTGTGATTTTTAGATGGTGAGCTTAAACATTAATAAAGTGGGCTCTATTCATGGGAGTCTTCCCTGGGTCCCTCTGGAGAAAATTTACATTTGACTGCGTTAAGCTTTGTGCTACTTTAACCTAATTTCTTAGTTTAGGATTTCTTGGAACATGCCAATGAGGGTAGGTCTGTGCTTCTGATTTAATCTGTGAAGACTTTTTCCCCACCTTAAAGTACAAGACAGACAAATTTCCTTGATGCATTTCATTGCTACTGGGGAGATTTCCTAACCTACCCTTTTGTAGTAGGCGTCCATTCTTTAGAAAAACTGGTTTTTGGCTTTACCTGGTGGGCTTTGACTCCACCTCCTGTCTTGAATAGTCTCAAGACTTTCTATGCTATCTTTTGTAACTAAGGAGTAAACACCCCCACGTCAACATAGTTCAACTGCCTAATCTTGATTTTTCAGCCTTCCTCTTCGTGTTTGATCCTTGAGAATTTTGGCCCCACCTCCTCACGGGCTCAGTTGTGCATTTCCTATAATTAATTTAGCCTTGTAAGGGGCTATGTCACGAGAGATTTCTGGATATCTGATTTGTCTTTTTGCTGGAAACAGTGCTTTCCTGTTTTTCCTGCCATTTTGATAGTACATTTTTTGGCAACAGTAATTGAGGAATATATCTTCTTTGTTGATATTGGAGTAATTAGAAGTAATTTTCATTCTTCATTATAAAGAAATGATGCTTTCAACCCAGACATCAGTAGGACATAAACTGAACTGATTGCTGCAGACTCTTCTGCTGAGTTCCCCAGCCTCATGCCTGTGAGCTCCCTGCTCAGAATGAGAAGTGGAGTCCCCTGGAGGCCACACCTGTCAACTCATCTTTGCCCCACCAAGTGACTTGAATGACTCATCCCCTTGACCTCATT